TTAGTGTTATTTTTTAATAATGTATTGAATGTGTTCTTGTAGAATTCACAGCACCAAAACCTGGGGTAAACTAAGGTGACATCCCTGAGGCAGATGACTGAAAAGAATGACACAGTACAGAGTTGTTATAAACATTTACAGATGTGTTATTTGAAGAAACTGTTCTCTGAGGAAGAGAGGACTGTAGAACAGTCAAAAAGTAGTTATCTCTTTAGATAAAACATGGAACTAAGACAAGGCATATTTAGAATAATATAAAAAATAATTTGGCATCAATGAAACAACCTTCCAATTGAAGTGAAAAGTGCACAGAAGGGAAATGACAATAGATCATTGATCTGATGATTGCACATCATGTTAGACATACTTGTTTATGTTGACACTTCATGTGATGAAAAGCTTTTAGCCACATTTAAGAATGAAAGTCCTGCTTGTCTCCAAGCCTATCGTTCTTTAAAAAATGGATTTTAAGCTTATCCCTTCAAAGAGCATGGTTTTTTAGCAGTACTAAATAAATCTTACTCTTTTTACTTATTTCTAAATTCTGCTGAAGTTCCTGATTATGTGCCATCCCATGGTACCTGAGTTTAGTAACCTTTCCTTATCAATGTGATTTCTGAAAGACCTTCCCTTTGTTGAGGTTTAAGAACCAAGCAGTGGCTTTTGATCTCCTGTAAAGAAACACCCTCTGTTTGAGCTGGAAACTGATTTATGTGTTATTTTGACATATAAAGGTGGAATGTATTTTCTCAAACATACAGAGGCACAGCAGGCAAAGAATGTTGATGATACAGAAAAGTTAGTGTTGAAATGCATCATCTTCTTGAAAAACATGCTTAGGGCCAGATATGTTGTTCTGTCATGTTATTTTTCCCATTCTTTTTGAAAGGAGTCTGATGCTTAGAAACAGAATTGTTTAAGATCTCATCAACTCTTGCTGTTCATTCTACCTTGAAGTCATAATCTGCTGACATATCATAATTATTTTCACAGCAACAGGTTATGAAGTATCAGACAGAGCATTCTAAATTAGGAATAAGCAGCAGATAAATGCTAAAAAGTAATAATATTTATGATTTGGTGAAATTGCCCAGTGTGGTGAAAGGAAAAAAGAATTAAGAGGGAAAAGAAGAATAGGCCAGGAAAACAAAAAAGCGTGGCACATGCTGTACTTCTCCAGGCAGAATATTTTTCAGGTCCTTGTTTTTACATAAATTTGATGACCATTGTAGGAAAAAATCATGCTATTTCATAAAGGGAATTTCCAAATATGGTAACATATTTGACCAAGTAACTTTTAATTTTGATAAAAACAAACTTTCACTGGGAGTAAATAGTTACAAATAGACAGAGGTAAATATAAATATATATGATGAGTGGGAATATATTTATATAAAAATATGAATAGCGAGCATGTAAACTATAGATAGATATTTTGAGTGAGTGCATAGTTATAAATACATGTATTATGAAATATGAATATGAAATATGAAATCACTGAAGTCAACAGGAATTTTACTTTTGTTTCAAATTCATCCTTTTGCAGGGATGGAAGGGCAGAGGGGGGAAGGAATGATAGTAAGAAGCCATTTGATTTGTATTGAGTTTAACGCTAGTGAGATAGGCTGTGAGAATGTCTTATGGCAGAATTAGCCAAACTTCTTGACGTTTGAAGCAACATACCAGTAATCCATGTGACCAAAAAGCAGATCCCTCTAACTGCTGCTGCTTTACCCCATACCATGTGACAACTTGCACCACACCTCCTTCTCTTCCTCTCCATTTATACGTTATCATCTTCCCAATTTAGTATTTGCCTGCCTTACTGCTTTGTTCTCAGGTGTAAGTGTGAGCCATATCTGTAACTGCCTTCCTTTGCAAAATACTGTGATGGTGCAGATGGGGAAGCTGCTAGCTACTGCACAGTAATGAGACATTGTGTGTCTAATTCCGTTTTTCTGTTTTTAAGGTCTCCTGGCTCTTGCTCACTTTCTACATGTGTTATTGTTTCAGATGGGTTTCTTTCTCAGGACAACTGCACTAACTGCCTGAATACCTAGGAAACATCCAAAAAAGCTGGTGTATGGTTTACACTAAAGTGCTTGTGAGTTGTGTAGTGCTTACAACATGCAGTTTGGCTAATGCTAGTCTATGTCCTAATGTTGCCTGTCCTTTTTCCTTCCCTAAATTTTCTGACACTTTATTTTACAGTTAAAAAAGAAGAAAAAGAGTATAATTTGTCTTTTCATTGTGTCGTTGACTGGTTTGATTCTTACACTTTCCCTGTTTCTGTTGAATTATAGGATGAAGTTTGTCCCAAAGTGGATGGAGATCCTGTTCAGCGGTGTGTATGGGCAACGGCGGTTAATGTAAAAGACAAGTTCATTTATGTAACTCAGCCCACACTTGACAGAGTTCTTATTGTTGATGTACAGTCTCAGAAAGTTGTACAGGTATTTGTTTCTAATTTTTAAGTTAATATCTAATTTGGACACAAGAATTTAAGGTTTTCCTTCATATTTAAAAAAAAAAATGTAGTTAGCTTGAGAGTAAACACAGTATCTAGAAAAAAGCTGATCTACTGTTGGTATTTAGCAGCAGTTTATGTTTAGTGACTGTTCTTGTCAATAGGCAATTGGGAGGGAGAGAATCAACATGAAAGAAACTCTTATTAATCAAGTAGTTGAGGAAACAAGTTCTTTGGGAAGTTTCTGGCTTGAGGTACTTTTCACTTGAAAATGAAGATTCATTAAAATAGAGTCTTATCACAGGAATGTGCCTGTCAGTTCTGACAGGAGAGGTTAGGAGGTTAGGTTTGACTACAGAAGGTGGAGGACTGTTATTCAGTAAGCTTTTAGAGAGAGAAATTACTGGAATCGTGGAAGACCCAACACCACCCTTAGCCAAGATTGGAGACTGTAAATTCGAACTCCTCTATTCCTCTCTACTGTGTAAGGTAGTACTATTGGTTTCTCAGTCTCTGGGATGCTGGAGATATTCTGCTTATTCAAAACAATTCATTGGGTAAAAGAGAGAAATCAGTGTTATGGTAGAGGGATTAATGCACTCATATAGTTTGTGGAAGACCAAGGTACAAGGCAATGCTAAAATGAATATTAGTGTTTTGAACGAGTACAGTTCCCTCAGGAGAGCCTGAGAGAGTCACACTATAATCCAAATGGTCAGTAGTCTCACTGGGATAGAGTAAAAATTTGATGTTTAGTTGCCACCACTCAAATCAAATACTATAACCACTGTACTCTTGTCTCTCTTTCTCTCTCTTTTTCTCCCTTTATGAATCTGGTGGTATCATTGATATCATTGTACTGTGAGGTTACAGAGGGGATTTACATAAGGGGAGATTTTATTCTGTTGAATTGTTAAAGACGTGAAAATGGATTTAGAAAATAGTAGCCATAAACTCATTAAATTCTAAAAATATTTTTTCTAAATATGAAGAGAATATATAAAGTCTTAAACTGTTCATGTTAACAAGGCATATAGAAAAGGCAAAATCATATTTTTTGCTATTAGTTTTCTGCCTAGTATTCCCACCATATTACACTATTTTTCTTTTTTTTTTTTTTTTTTTAATCAGACACATAGAATATATTTCATTATACACTCTTTAGTCTCTCGGGATGATGTAATTTGAGCAGAAAGATTAGCTTTATTTCACTTTTAGTGGCAAAAAAAGTCAATCGGTTATAGTTGGGGACTGTCAACAGTCTTGTCAGCAGACAAGGGCCTTGTTTTTTGGTTGGGTTTGTGTATTTGTGGGGTTTTTTAAGTACATTACAGATCATATAAAATCTTGACATTTCCTTTAAAACCAAGGTTCTTCTTTTTCTGAGATAAAATTATTTCCTGGGCAAAGAGCTCTGAAGCTAGTTAATAACTTATTAACAATCCTGCTCTGATTCTTAGAAGAAAGGGCACTTGTATGTGAAACTGATAAAGAGGTTTTGACACCAGACTGGGTGTTCTGATTCAAATTTTAATCATACAAATGTGCCTAACATCTACAGGGTTACTTACAGTAACACATTCTTAGGAAACAGATGTTCTTTAGCTAAATAAAACGTGGATTTATTTTAATTAGAACTCTAATCTAAATTTTTAATAAAAACATTTAAATAGAGCTTTTCTTCATGCCTTTTGCCTTTTTCCCTGATAAATGAATAAAAATCTTTAATGTATAGATTATATGTTGTATGTTAGGCTCTGAGGAGACCTTATTGCAGCCTTTCAATATTGAGAGAGGGCTTATAAGAAAGATGGGGAGAGATTTTTTTAATAGGGCCTGTAGTGATAGAACAAGGGGTACTGGTTTTAAATGAAAAGAGGGTAGATACAGGCTAGATATAAGGAATAAATTTTTTACAATGGCAGTGGTGAAACACTGGAACAGGTTGTCCAGAGAGACTGTAGATGCCCCATCCCTGGAAACATTCAAGGTCAAGCTAGGTGGGACTTCGAGCAACATATCTAGTTCAAGATGTCCCTGCTTACTGCAGGAGGGTTGGACTAGATGACCTTTAAAAGTCCCTTCCAACCCAAACCATTCTATGATTCTATGATATTAGTGTATTTATGTATTATGTATATTAATGTAAAATTTAAAAATACATAACAAAACTGCAATTTAAAAATTACATTAACTTGACAAATAATTTTGATAATTGTGCATTCTTTACACATCTGTATTTTCTGCCTTCTATATTCTATGTCAGCTGGCTCAGTAGACAGTTTTCTCAAAACCTGACGTATCCAAATGGTGACGTAGTCTAATAAAAAGTTTTATTCAAAAGTTAATAATAAAAAGTTGTGAATTTTTTTCTTTTACTTATTTTTAGTGAAATTGACCTTTACATATCAAAGTAGAGATGAACTGAGTGGATAATGAATTTTTGTTTTTTTGAAAACAAGACTTTTTTTACAGCCACTTCAGTATATTTCTTCACGAAGAGAGACAAAAAAAAACATGGTCTTACTGCAATCCACAGATTTGAAGGACTAGAATCTCTGGCAATGGTTTCCCTGGTCTCTGGCTGACATTCATGTGCCATCTTTCCTGTAGATGGTGGATGAAATACCAATTGAATTACATTTATTAGCATTTAGACTTCAGTGGCAAGAGTGTATTATGCCTTTTTAACTCACTGAAAAATATTAGATAAGTTGGAGGTTCTTTTAAACTTAAGTTTTATGGAATAGTTTGATTGGTAGACTCTTCTAAATCACCTTCAGTTACATTAGTTATCATTTTACTAAGTGCTTTACCATTAACTGTATGTTTAGAGATACTTACCACAACAATGTATGTTAATTAATAAGTAAAATTCAATAAATTAGCCACTAATTAAATCTACACCCTTCCCCCAGAAATACGTAAAGCTATTCTCCAGTTTTTGGATGGCGTTAGATAGGTTGCTGTTCTATCACATCAATATTCAAGATTCTGTAATGAGTTGAAAAAACAGACATACAGGATGCCTAGGTGTTACACAGAGCTTTGTGCACTAAGTCTGTGCTCCTTAGCAAATATATTGAGCTGAAACCAGATACTCCACAAGCCTGCATGCTAGTCCAGGAAAAAACACCCTTTCACTTTCAAAGAAATTTTATTTTGAGGGATAGAATAACATTGCTTTTCCATTACTTTAATAATATGAACCAGATAAGCAGCACTCTAATAAAACTTCTGTCAAGATGCAAAAAACCTAAAGACAACTAAAAACATATTTGAAGGCGCTATAATTTGTGTAACTATGCTGTTTTCTGTATAAAAATAATTAATTTAGTTTTGCTTATTATGGTTTTTTCTCTGAAGTACTACTATGTATGTTACATTTATTCCTTTCTACTATGAAAGTTAACATAAAAGACGTATGTACAGGTGCACATATGTAACAACTAGACTTGAGGATGATTTATTTCTATGACAACTATATTTATCAAAATCAGTAATTAAAGCAAATTCTAGAGCAGACTAAATTGAAATGTATTGGAAACAGGGATGGTCTATCTTTAGAGAGATCTACGTAGACTTTTTGATTTAGCCAGGTAATTCTCTTTCTAAAGTTAAGAGAAGTATTTGCTTTCATTTCTAAATTCTTGAAAGCAAGCACTGTCACCTGCAATTGTCCAGTATTGCTCAGCAGTGCACCATTAACTGGCATGACTTAGAGGCATGCTGAAGTAAACAGAGCTCATTATTGTTCAGTCCACACCATGCTGCTGGCAGATCAGCCTGGCTAGCTAGAAACAGCTGTGAAAGCCTGCTTCCAAGATGCTCAGCTCCTTTCTGCTGCTGGCTCCTCTCTTGGGAGCTGCATTACCTGTGCTGACTCTACGGGCAATTCCTTGTCCTCCTCCTAGCAGTGCTATGGCCCAGACCCTGAACATAGCTGGCACTCATTCAGCAGAACACATATGGGTCAGACCTTTTGTCAGGGGAAGCCAAAAGGAAATTTGACACACCTGAACAAATTAGCTATACAACAGCCCAAGTATTATTTTAGACAACTTGTCTTCTAACCTGCAGCAGAAAAATGTTATCAAACACAAATGACCTTTTTCAAGGGATATCTTTCCGATTTTAAATGAGCCAGTGAGCAACCTGGCTTCGTTTTCCATTTTCAAAAGGAAAAACAAACTCTGCCTAGATGAAGCTGTGGCTTGCAACACCTCAGGAGTACAGTTAAGTATCATCAGCAGTCTCAGCCAGCCATTAGTGCATTATCTTGAGGATCTACATCATTAGTTTAAATTAGGTTCACTTAATTAGCCAGCTGGTACTCTCCTTGACAAACTTATAAACAAGCTGTGCTTTAGAGTTCCATAATGGTGAGACTAAAAAACAATTTCCACTTTTTTTTTCTGCTTTAATGATGAAAATGGAAAAGTAATCCCCCTAGTTATTTACCTCGTGTAGAATGACTCAATGAAATATGTTGTCCTCCCATTTCATACCTCTGAAGTCTTCAGTTCTCACACCAAAGGAAGTGTAGAGCTCAACTGTCTATAAGGTTCGTGGTCCCAAGAGACAGTGCTCAAGGTTGTAGGGAAAACACTTTGGTTCTGATCACAAGTCTACTAAAAGTAGCAACTGTAATTGGAAAACATGAAAACAATCTCTCCAGCTTCAACAGAATATACCCAGTTTAGCAGAGATAGGAAGATTTGGGTGTGGCAACATTGTGTTGGTTTTATACAGGGCTGTGTAGCAACACCTTGCATTGATTTCAGTATGTGGATTGAGAATAGTCTTCCATTTTTAGCCATTTTCTAGTAATCGGTGTAGTTTTTGAAACAGATACATATAAAGTGAGAGTGATGGTAGGGAAGGAAGATAAATACTTTTTAGCTTGATTTAAAACCTTTGTTTTCAGCTTCTTAATAGCTTCAGTATAATGTAATTTCGATGCCAAATGTTAGAGCATATAATGAATTAAAATCACTGTTTCAGCAATTCAGTAACTTTGAATTAATTAGAGGACTGTTTCAACAATTGACAACATAATTTTAAATACAATCTGAAAACATCAGGAAATGCATGTCCAGTGATCATCTTAATTCAAGTGTATGTATTATTTTTCTTTTGAAAATGTGACAGAAACTAAGGATTTCTATTTTTATTATGCTTCAGGCAGTAAGTACAGATCCTGTTCCAGTGAAACTACACTATGATAAATCACATGATCAAGTCTGGGTGCTGAGCTGGGGAAACATGGAAAAGAATTCACCAACTTTGCAGGTGAGGTGATCGGAGTGATTATATGCAAGGAAATCTAGACAAGTTGAACCTTTGTGTAATTGCAACATTTTGTATATTTTCCTTTAAGCATTATTATCATGACCCTAGCAGGGGCAGTGAAATGATTTCAGGTAACCAGAAAACAATTCAGACACCTGACTTTGCTAAAAAAGTTAGAAATTGTTTTCAACACCCTTACTCAGAAGTGACAATGCTGAATTGATAGAAGGATAAAGAATACAGCTGACAGCAGCAGCATGTTTTGTAACTGCCAGTCTTTTGAGAGCAAACTGTTGCTGTTTATGATGGGTTTTCCCCTAATTCAGGATAAAGTGGATTTTGGGCATATTCTTATTTCACTAAAATTATATTGACGTTCTGGAGGTGACAAGCTCCATCTTTACTTATTGCTTTTTTCAGATGTAAAATATTAAAAATCTTTTTCCCATGCCTCTGAGCAGTGGCAAGCCTAGGGACAGTCACTAGAGAAACATTTCAAGAAGCTGTGCTTGCATTTCTACTTTTTCACTACTTTCTGTTCCTTATTTAGAGTAATCCCCTGAGAATATGGTGATTGTCTTTATGTCATAGTTTCAAAATTACTTTCTATTTCAACTAATTTTCCTTTTCTTTAGAAGTTAATGAAATCCTTATGTATTTAAAAAAATAGATATAAGATAAAGAATAAGAGAAATTCAAAGACAGGGCTCAAGCAGAAAAATAAGTAACATTTGAAAACACCTTTTTAGCACCTACAGACTCTTAGTAACTGTGAGTATGCAAGGTAATTTGTGGGAGTTCAGCTGTCATTTCTCTGCAGAAAATGACTGATAATTGTGTCAATCTCATCATGTTTTAAAGTGACTGATTATCTTCATTCTCTTTTTCCTTACAGTATAGATAATTGATTATTTTCCTCCTTTTAATTCACTCTTAAGTGCATGTATGTGAATATCATAGTGGCTATTATATGGAATTGTCTTTTATTCTATGATTCACCCATAAACATTTACCTTAGAGAAGGTCCAAGATTTGGGGATTCGAGGCAAATTTGTTCATAACAACTTAAAAAATGTGTAAACTCAAATCAACTGCTCTTCTGAAATATGTCTGCGCTATTTTGAATCACCTCATGATTGACAAGGATTGGGAGTATACATAGCCATAGTTTCCTGTGGATCAGTTGATAACATTTTAACTTTTCGGTCTGGCTGAGGTGCTTAAGAAATTTAATATTCCTCTAGGGTCTAGTGTAAAAAAAAACCCCGCAAACAAAAAACTTAGTTTGCACTAAGAACTACTAGAGGCTTTAGTAATGTAAATTAATTAATATGGATCCAGTGGTGGGAAAAAAAAAAAAAGAGGAAAAAAGTAAACGTGAAGATTAAGTGGTCAGGTATGTAACAATTCTCTGTAATGCTAATCAACTTTATTCACTGTCATTTGTGTTCTTTTTCTTGGTAGCTGAAGGGTAATACAAGAGGTAGAATACAGAGGCAATACTGTATTAATTTATTTGGACAGAGATTAAATTTTGAAAGAGTATTTCTGTAGTTCATAATCATGTTACTTTATGTAGGTAATAACACAAGCCAGTGGGAGTGTTTCTCATCACACAATCCATACTCAGCCAGTGGGAAAGCAGTTTGACAGAGTGGATGACTTTTTCATTCCGGCTACAACCCTCATCATTACCCATATAAGGTACTTTTTAGCTGAATTATAATTAAATTTCAAATGAGCTATAACATTGTCTCCAAAGAAAATACAATTTAAAACCATTGAAAATCTGAGACCATGACTCCAACTTCAATATTGTTTTGCAGTGCCCTTCTTCATAAATTAACTAAATGCAAGTTTTATTGAAAACAAACTAGATATCAGAATAAACACATTTATTAGAGATTTTCTTCCTTATCTCACCAAATTTGCAAAAGTTCCAATGCTCTACATACTAAAATTGAGTTGTAATATCATCTGGGGTTTTCTTGAAGAACTAATAAGTGTAATATTCAGATAATTCCCTAATTTAGGAGCATAAATCTTAATTTTGTAAACAATACTAATTTATTCTACTGTCCAGAGCAGTTGCCATACATAGTATTTGCCATATGGTATAACATGTATGTTGTATTGGAGTTATTCTCTTGATTAATGGACCAGAAAAAAAACACTTTTGCAGTTTTGAAAGGAATTGTGATAAAACATAATGCAACTCTTTATGAACTGGCTTCTTCTGTTCATTCAGTTCTTTCTCCCTGTTTTTTATCAGGATCTCTGTTTTTAAAACAAACCAAGGCTGAGCATGTAACAAACTCTGTTTAGATGCATGAATAAAATTTGTCTTATTTCATGGGTGCTGAGTATATGATGTTAAAATGGTTCATATTGTAATCCATACCAGGAAACACTGTAAATTCTTGGGACCTTAGTTATTTCTCTCAGTGAATGTAAGGCTGTCTTTGTTTGCCCAAAGAACAGACAAGTTCTGGCTGTGATAGAAATACTCTAAGTATGGTAGAATGGAACAAAGTGACCAGCTGGATTTTAAAAGACGTGGGACTTAGAAAGAGAGTGTGAGAAAAAGAGGGCAACACTTAATACAGGCATAAAGCAGAAATCTTTTCAAGATCTCCCCAAGGCCTTTTAAATGAAAATCTATTTGTCTTCCTCAAAATACATTAGTAAGAATGTGGAATGTAATTTTCTTTTCATATTTTTTTCTGTAACATTTCTACCCGTAGGGATTGAAAAATTCTGCAATGTAGGATTTGTACATCTGAATATTGTATTAATATGTATTAGCATGTTGTATGTTTAGGACTGTTAGGTTCTTTGCAAGGTGACGCAGACCTATTTCAGCTCAAAACACCTCTGCAAATAATTATCTCAATTGCTTATTCTGCTCTTCCAAGTTCAAGTTTCATAGAAATGCTTTCATTGGGATGATCTTAACTGTCTTACGATTATGAGACATCATCATTCACTTTTAGCTAAAATCTCAAATGTATGTGTATGTAAATATGCATCTCCATTAGAAAAGATATTTCTGATTGTAGCGAGTAATAGTCTTTTAAAACTGAAAACATGCAATTTAGGATGATTTCACAATTGATTCTGGAATTTACTGTCTCTGCGCCTGTGATGAGTCTAGTCTTCTGTATCAAAAAAGATTTGGCTTCTCCTAAAGTGGTTGTTGATGAAAGATAATTTTTTAAAATTTTCTACAAAATTCTTAACTAACAAGTAAATTAGCAATCAACCATATGCAATTTAAAAAGGAATGTGTAAATTAATATAGCTGAATAGTAAACTGACTCTGAGTACCATTACTGCTACATTTCTTGAATTGAGTGGATAAATGCACATTGTGTCTCTGAAGTAATCCGTAGTCCTCACACTCAGCCTTAGAAAAGCATTATGATTAAATATTTCAGCTACATTTGGAACAGGTATGCCTTGCGAGAACAAAAGTTACTGGTTCATAAGCTACCAAGTAGTAGAGGTACTACCCCAACAGAACTGACATTTGGATACATTAATTTTCATGTAAATAGGAAGAGAAAAAGATGTATAGGGATAAACATCATACAAAGCGGGGAACCAAGATCGGGAAAAGAAAAATAGGCCCAGTCCAAAGCTAGTGAGGAAGTAATCTTTTCTAACTTGAACAGTTTTAAATTGATACTTTGCCTAAATAGGTCAAGTAGATGCTTTCTGCTTTGCATGGTGAGTCAGAGCTACCTTCAGCTGATGAGTCATTTCACCTGTCCTGTATGTAACTTAGGAGAAAAGAGAAATAAAGAATAAAAGAAAACCCATGGAAATAAGAAAGGAATATGAAGTTCAATTAAACAGTGAAAGAATACAATTGGACAAGTGACTGCAGATATATAATAAACATCTACCTCCATTCAGGCCTAGTATAATTACCTTGTTGTGACTTTTGGTTTTGGTTTTTGGTTTTTTTTTTTTTTCATTCATGTACTAGTTAACGACCAAAAGAGAATTTCTAAAGTCTGGCAAAAAGCCTGCAATAGTTTGTCCAGTGCTAAAACCATAGATTTTGGGGTTTTAACCAATGAAATCATTTCAAGAGCAATAAACTGTTTTTACCTAATCCTGAGCTTACTTGAAATGCAAAGAATCTTATTTTAGTTTTCTAAAATACTACTTAATTCTGAGTGCCTTTTCTATAAATGAAAAAAAAAAAAAACCCACTGTGTAGATAGGTATGGTATTTTTATTTTTTGTGTATTCTTTCAAGGGGCATTTATGTAAAGTTAGTCTGTCATTAAAGAATTTGCCTTACATAAAATATCTGGATTTCAAGTACTTTGATTTTTTTGTTTAAATAAAAATGAACTATGTGAGTAGTGTGTTAGGAAAGGTATTAAATTAGCTGTATTTATCAAATTAGTAATGATGTAGGAAAAACTGTCTATTAAATCTAACTTGTCACCAGTCAACAATAAAAATGCTCAGTAAACAGCATGTGTTTGTTAAGAATGTTAGGCAACAAACATAAAGCCTGAGCTTATTATTCTTTGGTGCATATACAAACCAGAGGAGCATTTTATGAGTGTGAATAACAAAAAACAGGTGCAAAGGAAATAACCCCACTGGCTGAGTTAGCTGGTATAGTTAACTGCTCAAGGGCCCTGTTTACCCTTTGTTAGAAGTCAGTTCCCTTTGACTATGCAACACCAGCCCCTTCCAGAAAAATGAAAGCTTTCTGTAGCTAGGTGCATTTGTCACCTGTAAACTAAAATTTTGAATGATGGAGCAGAAGACAGAGTGTGCACAGCATACCAAACTAGCTTCCAGAACCAAGCTTTCTGTCTGAATAAAGGCATTTCTAAGCAAAAAAGGCATACCACTTAAAAGTATGAATTAAGTTTTGTAACACAGTTAACACAAGCCATCTACTACTATTTACAGTGTATTGCCATCTACTGCATATTCTGTCCAATCAGTCATTCTTTAATCACTGTAAAGAATAAGGGACAGAAGGTAAAAATAGGTAGGCTTGTTGACACATGGGAAAAGAAGTAATGGTGAATAATTTAAAGTTATGGTGGGTCATTATGTTTTTCTCTTTAATAATATCTAAAATGTTAATTGGTAATAATACATATATATGCACTTAAAACTTACTGCAAATTAATTTTATTTAAGAAGTGATGGAACTGTACATTTGCTTTGCCTAGGTGAGTTATTTTTATATATGAAAATGGAAATGGGCTGCCCATTATTAAAAAAGAAAACACATTTTAATGCTCTCTCGGGCAGCAGATAATTTAGGATGCACTTCCCTCAGATCAGACATTTTGAAGAGGTGCTAAAAATTTTCGTGTGAGGTAAACAATAATTGATCCCAAGGAAAAAAAAAAAATCCTAGAATTTTCCTACCACAGACTGAGGCAATGTTTGGTTTTACTTACAGTACAGCAGGAGTCAGGGCAAATAACTTTTTGGTTTTATAACCAGCAAGCATAAGATTCATGCTCTGAGCAACCAGCAGCTAAGCAAACTAAGTAGGCATGAGCCAAATGTAGAGGAAGAACAGACCAATTCTGTTATTTTTAAACTCTTTTATAATTGGTGAATAGTTGATATGTATAAAGAAGAGGACAAGAAAAGAAGCTGTATCATTTTGGGGAGAAAAATATGGTAGGTTCAGTACCATCAGTTAGTTTGGGGAGGGCGGGGAGGTGTATCCCTTTCTTTTATGTTCCAGTCAAACTATTTCCTTCCACTGCTGAGATGAAGGAGAAAGAGTTTTGTGCAGTCAAATACTATTAGAAATGAAGCAATATTTGGCAGTAATCCTTTTGTAACTGCTAACCATTTATAAATATATATATGTTAAAAAAAGACAATATATACTATTTTTAGTAAAAATCTACTAATTACTTCCCTAATAACGTGTAGAATGCCCCACTTATGCTTCCAGACAGTAAATCTCTGTTTGTACAGAGAGCCTCAGCTGCAGATAGATCAGGTTGGCACCGATTAATAAGGTTCTAAAAATGTAGGTTACTTAATTCTAGAATTTCTATGTGGTTTTTTGACCAGACTAGTTCACCTGCTGACTCTAAGTGAGGGATTGTCTCATGCCTTTGAGCATTCCTTCATGATGGAAATAAAATCCTTTCTTTTTCTCACAAAACTTTTAAAATGCAACAGAATTTAGAGAAAGTCAGAGATTCCCATGGCTTTTCATGAGTTTCCTCTGCCAGCTAGTTGTAGTGCAAGGTACAAAAATTTTTCATAAATCAGCAATGAAAAAGAGACTATGGCACAAACCAGTAATAATTATTAATAGAAAGAATCCTTAAAGAAATTTGCCCAGGCTTGCTCTTGGAAGTCTGAAGATTTCAAAGGGAAGAAATTATATGTTCAACTTGCATATCTTGAAAAAAGCCTGTCCTGCTGTCATCACTGGCTTTGTTTTGCCTCTGACATGCACTCACTGCCAATATATGTTGAATAATACCAAGAGAATGAATGAATGTAAAACATTGTTTTTCATGCAAACCATCATGCCCATATTGCCAGTGCACATGGCTTGAAAAAAAACCTCTCCCTCTCCCCCCAGTTGTGTTGAAAAGTTATCAGACTCTGGGGCCACAAAAGTAGACAGGATGAGATCTATTAATCTGTAATAAATGATGCAAATCTCAAGGGTTTTTTTTTTTTCA